ACCTTCGGGCGGACTACTTAAATAGGCACTCAAAAGGTGCACGTGTGGCTTGATGTACCATTATTGTAATTACATATTAAACTTCGTCTATACTCTAATAAAAAGTTCCCCAGACCAAAGAGGTCACCTTAATATCAAAAAAAAAAAAAAAAAAAAAAAAAAATTTAAAGATATCTCAGCACTCACCAAGTCGATTTTGATACTTTAACTACCATTAGATGCATCTTGACAAGCTCTGCAAAAGTCTCTTAAATTAGAAAAGTGATTAACTTAGTATAAAAAAAAGTTTTAAATACACACATGCCACATTTGAAGACCCCCAATTTTTATAAATAATTTGAGTCACTTTTTACTATGAACATTCTTTGGTTGACTGGTGGATCACCAATTAAGTAAAAGTTTTTTTGACTTTAAGCTTAAATATCTTAGCAATTATCCTGTCAAATTTAATATTTTTTTTTTTAATTTTTTGTAATTTTAATATTAAAATAAAAAAATTTTGAGCAAATTTAATTAATTAATTATTAAGATATTTTAATTTAAAAATTAAAAAAATTTCATTAAAAATGATTTGTTTCTTTTCTATTAACTTCACCCCATATATGTCTTGGCTTCAAATTTAATATTAATAGCAGTAAATACATTTATACAGAAGTAAGCATCAAGAAAGTGCTATACAAATCTCTATAAATATTAATTCTGGAAATTTTAGCCAAAGTTTAAAAGTGAAGTCTGTATTGGGCTAAGCTAAACTCATGAGTTTCAGGTTTGGGCCTGGGCTAGGTCTAAATTTTAAAGTTTTGTTTGTAAAGTGAGCCAGGTTTGGGTTATGTTTATTAAATATTAGACCTGAGTCAGATTTAGTAAATGGGCTTGGTGTAGCCTAACAATACTCTAACAAAAACTACTATTATTTTTACTATAGTCTCTATTGGCTACAGCTTCAGTTAGATATTACTACAACTACTAAATATCTAATACAAGTTTAAACTAGTATAAATATATAGTCAAATTTTTATAAATGCAATGTATTGTTATAGAACGTGTTAACATTATAGAATATATTAAAGATTTGATTTCCATTAGATCCAGAAGATTGTAACGATCAAAACAAGCTATAATACAAGACAAACAAACTATCAGTTAGCTAGATAAGGGCAGTGTCATTTATCATCTGATTTTTTTTTATCAGAGGCTTACCCCCCTTCTAGTTTTTAATATATAAATTATTAGGTCTTATATATAAAATTTTAAATTTTTTGACCCCCCCCTTAGAAAATCACCTGATAATTGTCAGCTCTCTAATACCTTTTATACTTTTTGTACCTTTTATATCTTTTATACCTTTTGTTTTATACCTTTTGTATCTTTTATACCTTTTATACCTTTTATATCTTTTATATCTTTTATACCTTTTGTACCTTTTATATCTTTTATATGGTTTAGCCGTTTCACCTCTTATGTGTAGAAAAGTTAGAGAGCCTTTGCCTCTTCTGCTCAAGTTAGAGAGTTTTTCTACCCTCTCATAGAATCTAGCTTTATACTATTCTACCCTTCTTATATCTGTATAGTGTGATATTCCCCCTCTAGAGTAAATCCTACAGGCAAGGTTATTACTATAATATTTGTATTTAAATAAAGTTATATAATATACTGTTACTATCCCGAACCATTTGTCTATTGCTATAAAGTATAGTGAATACTTTACTCCACTTCCTGTATATTCCTAACATAGGTTTTTCTACAGTGAGTGACCTTGTTACTTTGCTATATTGTTGATAGAAGGCTATAGCATTGTAACATTTTGGTGCCTTCTGGCAGAAAGCCAAAATATTACTTTAGAAAGCCAAAATATTACCCTGGAAAACCAAAATATTATCCTGTAAAGCCAAAAATTATATTCGGAAAGCCAAAGCATCACCCGGAAAGTTCAATACCCAGAAAGGCATAATCCATCCTGGAAAGCAATATCTATTAAGGAAACTTACATCTTGATTTGAATTTTGAATAATTATTAACAACACTTACACTAGTCAGAGTAAAAAAATCGGGCATATGTTTTATTTTAAACTGATATATGCCCGATTGTTGTTAAATTGTAAATTTGCTATAGCCCTGATTAATGCAAATTTATGCAGCAACCCGATTTGTATAAAATTATAAAATAATTAGTCCCGATTTATGTCGATTTTGGTACAATTCGGCATGTAATCAGGAAAAATTTAGTATATAATCGGGAAAAATTCAGCATGTAGTCAGGAGAAATTCGATATGTAATCAGGAGAATTAAACATCAACAAAATTACATGATTGTCTTCAAGGCAGCTTCTGGGTTGATGATTGATGTCACTATCCAGAGCACAAAATATACTATAAAATACTGAAGATTCCGGTAAATTAAGAAAAATTCTGGCACAATTTTTTGATAGTTGGAAATTTTTTGTTTGTTCAAGATTTTTGACACTTTCTTACATTATAACTAATTACTACTATCATTGCTACCTCCAGTTATAGATTTTAAATTCCGTTTAATAAAAAGATCACCAGAAAAATATCAGGATACGTTATGCCACAATTTTGTACTCTGCCACTACTACAGATTAATTTCTTGATTGACTTGATTATCTAATTGCTGTGGCAGTAGTATCGATCACTTAAATTTTAAGGAGACTACTCTTAAACTCTTCGCAAAATTTGTTCTAAGTTTTTTTATTTTTTTCTAAGTTTTTTTTTATTATTATATTTATTTTTAAAGTTTTCTTTTTTAAAGTTTTTTTTAAGTTTTTTTTTATTTTTAATTGAAAACACCTTGCAAGAACATCTCTTTGGATTTTGGAGAACAAGCTCAGATCAGAAGTAAAAAAAGCATACTTTTTAAAAACACTACACTAATTTGAATTTCTGAAAATAAAACTGAATTATGGTAAAAAGATAAACTTGGAATAAGTAGTGGGAAAGAATGAGCAGATGTACTTTGCAAGAACTAAACCTGGATCAAAAGGTGTAAAAGGGTTAGCAGAAACACTATGCAGGAGCACTTCGCTTATACCTCAGAAAATAAACTTAGATCAGACAGTGGAAAAGTATAAGTGAATACACTTTGCAAAAATGAACCTAGGCTAGAAGGTTAGCAGAAGCACTTTATAAGAACACTTTGCTGACTTTTTGAAATCTTAGAAAAAATAGACTTGGACCAGACAGTGAAGATTATGAGTAGATGCACTTTGCAAGAATTAACCCAGTAGTAATAAGCAAGTTATTTCTTAATGTTACTTGGTTTTTTTGTGAATATATAACAATAACATTGAAATTATATACAATGATAAATTTTATATACAGTAACTCTAATTCTAACTATATTATTATTAGATAATAATAGGTATGTAAAAAGAAGTTTTATTCTATTCTATAATCAATTAATCATTCATCAATGACATATTTGTTAACAAAATTCATAAATGATTGCTGTTAATTCTAATCTTACCAATAGGTAATCGTCTATCACTAGAACTTAGATCAGAATGTTAACAGAAGCACTTTGCAAGAATACTTCATTGACTTGAAATCTTAAAAAAGACAAATTTGGAGTAGGCGGCAGAAAAGCATACTATGTAAGAATAATCTAAATCAGAAAAAGCATCAGCAAAAAGCATTTTGCAAGACACTTTACTAATTTTTTGAAATCTTAGAAGAAACTTGATCAGAGCATAAGCAGATATATTTTGCAAGAATAAACTCGGATCACAAGATGAAAAAAACATGAGTAGATGCACTCTTTGTGAACACTAATATCCTTGAATTAGAAGATGGAAAAGTAGTAACAAACATACTCCACAAGAACAATAAGCGACTTTCTTGATAGGGTTAATTCTGCAATTGTGATTTATAAAATAACTAAAAATCTTAAATGATGCAACTATATGATAAGGTCTCTTAATCTATAGTAAAGAAGTGATAGCTAGATATGAGTAATTTTTATTTTTTTATACTTACTAGCATTGTTTAACCTTACTAGTGTTGTTATTAACCTTAGGCCAAGCATTAGCTTTAATTTTAGGTTCAAATTGTTTCAAATCAAGTTTGACAGATGGCTGGTTACATAATGGTTGATGATCTACACCCCGTCAGATACATGATAGTAGGTGATCGACTCTGCTACAGCAATCGTCACGATTCAAAAAAATACAATGAGTCACTTCATATATAAAATAAAATATATGTTGTTCATATATTTGGCAGGGTGTAGATTATCAATCATTATGTAACCAGACTTTTTGGGCCACTTTGTCGAACTCTTTCAAATCTGCAGTTTGTTAAAGAAAATAAGACTTCAGGCTTTCAATTTTATTATTTATTATTTGTTGAATTCAGCTCATTAAAAATTTTGATAGTAAAGCATATATATTGCTAAGCAGATTTTTCACAGGGTGAATCCAATAAATAACTAATGATAAATTTGAAAGTCTAAAGTCTTATTTTCCCTTACCAGCACTTCTATGTCCAAATAATAGCATTGAAACTTACTGTTATACAACACACCTAGAAAAGTCACAATTGAAATACAGTATCAAATAACTTATTTCTTTGATGATATGGCCCACTATAATTAGATTATTTGCTGACAAAGCATACAATGGAAGATCAATTTCATATGTTGTTTGAAGTGCTAAACATTCAAGCCTTTCTAGTAATAATTTAGTTGGATGGTTATAGTCTTCTAATTCTGGGCCGATCATAGATTGAATTTTAAGAAATTTTCTAATATTTGATTAATTGGTAAGAATCATAGATCATGTACACTTACTTACCTTTGTATTATAGAGTATTTTGTGTTAATCTGGTTTTTAAATAGTTTAATAAATGAAATAAAAATGATTCATTGAATAAATTAAAAAAATTTCAAAAAAAGTGATAAAATAATAATCAAAATGATAAATATTAAAAAAACTGAATAAATAGAATAAGGACTGGACTAGTTAGTACCCCATGCACTTTGTGCCCCTCTATTATAAAATTGTTAATATCTCAAAATTTTACTAGGGTAACCTCTGTTTTGTGACTAAGCAAAAATGGTCCTCTTACAATTTTATACTAAAAACTAACCCTAAACTAACCCTAACTAACCTTAAACTAACCCTAACCTAACCCTAACCTAAAATCATAAAATTGCTAATATCTCAAAATTTTACTAAGATAACCCTTATTGTGTAACTAAGCAAAAATGTTCCTCTCGCAATTTTACATATTTTTGCTAATTTTAATCTAATATTAACTTTTATTATAGACTAAATTTTTGCTAAGAGGCACAAATTGCATAGGGGCACTATTTAAATTTTATCTAGAATAAAATAAATAAATAAAATAAATAAGATAAAACAGAACAAATTAGACTTAAAAGTTTGAAACTGGTTTTATTAGACTAATTGTGTTTGGAATGGACTAGCTTTGATACTTTTGATAAATTTTAAGATTTTCAATTCAAATTAAAATGCTGGTTTTTACTTACAGTATATGAATTGATATTTTTCAATTTGAAAAAATTCAATGTTTAAAATTAGATGTTGTACCTAGAGATTTGCCCTTGTGCGACAAGTATAATAAAAATTTCATATATTGTGCAAAATACAATAATTCATATCTTACATGAAATATATAATACGTAATCTTATGCATTAATAAACTATTAATTATTAAGATTTTATTCTGCACGAGATTATATGATTATGTCATACCCCAGATGTTCTAATTTTAATCTGAGTACAACATGAATGTTATATTGATATTTGTGTATCTGTGTATATACGTATGTACGTATATACGTACATATCTTAATTTGGTACTGATCAATACCTGATCAATATCTGGTAGATGTTTGATTTGTCAAGATTGTATGCTGATTTGCACCATAAATCGGCATCAATCGGGCTGCCAAATTTAAAAATTAGCAACAATTAGGTAGTTATCAGTTTTAAATATAGCATATCTGATTTGTATCTGATTTGCCAGCTTTTGACTAGTGTTATATCTTACAAGGTATAAATTTTATTATTATTAAGAATTAATTCTAGTGTGAATTAATTAGTAGTTATTATACTATCTAGTGTTATTATTTTATTGTTTGGAGTTATAGTACTCCCTGGTGTTATTATTTTATAGTTTGGAGTTATAGTACTCCCTGGTATTATTATTTTATTGTTTGGAGTTATAGTACTTCCTGGTGTTATTTATTATTACAATTGCTTGTAGTTACTATACTACCTGGTGTTATTATTATATTGTTTGTAGCTATTACTACCTAGTGTTATTCTAATTATTGTCTGTAGTTAATACTACCTGGTGTTATGTTGTTAAATTGTTTAATTATTAGGGAGGTGTCAAATATCAGATGATTTTTTAGGGGAGGAGGTCAAAAATTTTGGAAATTGCATATAAAGACCTGACAATTTTTATATATAAAGGTAGGGGTAGGCTACTAATAAAAAAAAATCAGGTGATAAATAACAGCACCCTTATTGTATTGAAATTATTGTTATTACTAACTCTTTTAGAAGAATTTTGAATTTTTATTTTTAGTCTTATGGGAGATTTTCTAACTCAATATTATCTTATTGCTATTGAAAATCACCAACAAGATTATATTAACAGCCCAGCTATTTCTTATATCGTTCTGCAAACCCTTATACCTGATTTATCATATGTTAAGTGTTTTGCCCCAAAAACTTCTAGCAGTCATTCCACCTTTCTTCGTTTTTGGCAGTGATATTCTCAAGAATATCAAGCTATATCTTATAGTCGCAAAACTCAATCTGCTTATAACAAATTAGTTACTGCTTCTCGATCTACTGCTCGCTATGCTGCTCATGATATTATTTTTAGTTGCTGTTATAGAAACAATATACCTTCACCTCGCCCTGTAGTTTTAATTTTATTTCGAAGCTATACTTCACACGCTTCTATTCCCCAAATTTTTGATAATAGAAATCATTTTGATAATTATATTGATAACCCCAACTTTATTTCTCCTACTATCCAATTAATTACTACATCTAAAAAATCTCCATATACTATTCCTGCAAAAGCTATTAAAATTGTTGCTGAACCTATTGCTAGTTCTTTTGAAATTAGTCAGGAAGATACTGAAGAAGTTGCAATAACTTCTGCTATTGATACTGCTTTTAATCCTCCTGAAACTATTACTGTTACTCTTGAAGATAAAACTAAGGAAATTTCTACTATAATTAATTTTGTTAATCTAGAAGATATAACTAGCTCTACTTTTTATACCTCTACCCCAAGTTCTATTACTATTGTTTCTAATATAGATAATAGTGCTATTAGTGAATTAGTATTATCCCAACCTCATATTTCATCTACCCATCTTGATATTTTAGAGAATATTAATAATACTTTATCTACAAATACTGATATCGAAGACCCTTGGTATAATCTTCAAGTAGAAGAAAGTTACACCTCATATCTCTCATTATACTCACCAATTGAAGAACACCCTGTTGAAAAAGATAATATCTCTTACATCCCAATATACCCATAATTGAAAAAACAACTTCCAAACTCAAAATAATTACAAGTCTATTTAAAACATCTCTAGAAGAGGAATTTTCTATTTCATTAACTAAAACCCTCTCCACTTCTGAAGGTTCTGAATCATCTGTTGATACTACAGGATTATATTATTGTCTCAATTAATTATTTTATGAAGAAGATAACTTAAACCAAGAAAGAAAAATAGAAGACAATTATGATAATGAAATTCAAGTTGAAGAGGAAAACTCTATGGTTGCTGCTGCAAAAGCAATTAGTGAACTTGCTAAAGCTTTAAACAAAGGTGGAAAAAGTGAAAAAAATCTTATTAAAATCGAAGCTTTTAAAGGTGATGGAAGTCAAGACTCTATTGAATAGCTTGATGAATTTGACTGAGCTGCTAAAGCAAATCATTGAAGTAAAGAAAGACATCTTGAATTGGCCAAAGCTTATATGAAAGGAATTGCCGAAGAATGAGTAAAAACCAAAAATGACAACCAACTCAAAACGTATTGGGATGCAGAAGCAGAAGATACTAGTTTTAAAACTTTATTCAAAGAAAGATTTAATACTACTAGACAAAAAACCAAATGGCAACAACAACTCTTTAAACTTAAACAAGGCAGTAGTACTGTTGATGCTTATATAGGGTATTATCTATTAAAACAGCCCTTTTTTGCATGTAAATCATTTTAAGTAAATCAGGTTTAAAAAAAAATAAATAAACAAAAATTTTGATTTAAAAATAGTATTTCACGGTTCTAGAAATTCTAGACAATGCATTATTAGGAGATGTACAATGATAAAATTTTTATTACGTCATATATATATATTATGTTTATTGAGCGTCTCTTTTAGCAGTTTTTTTTTTAAAAAAAAAATTTTTTTTGGTACTAATTTTTTTTTCATCTTTTAGATGTTTTTTCAAGTTTTCTTCTAATGCTTTATTACAGTATTAGTAAGTGAACTTTCTTCTAATCTTTCGACATTTTCTAGTAACCTTGTAGACTTTTATTAATCTTTCAGAATTGGTTGGTGAACTTTCTTGTGGATCTTTCGATTTGTTGAAGGATTTTCTTGTTTTCAGTGTTTTTGAAGAACTTTCTTATAGGCTTTTCTTCTGCCTTTCGATGTTTTTGGAGAACTTTCTTGCGAACTTTTCTTTTGTCTTTCGGCTTTTTTTTTTTAGAGAACTTTTTGTTTGTGAACTTTCTTCTTGTCTTTCGGCGTTTTTTAAAGAACTTTTGTGGACTTTCCTTTTGTTTTTTTGGTATTTAAGCAGAGTTGAACTGAAAAGTTAAAATATGGTTCTTTTAAATTGGGGGATGAAAAAAGAATAATAGAGGTTGAAAAAAAGTGGGGTAGGTTAAAAAAGAAATTGGAACAAGTTAGGGAGTTAGTTGGTGAACTTTTTTGTGGATTTTTCTCTAGTCTTTCAGCATTTTTTTGTGAATATTAACAAGAAAGTTCAACTATTTTCTTATGGGTTTATTTTTGATATTTCGGTGTTGTTTTTTTTTTTGAAGAGTTCTTTTGTGGATTTTTCTCTTGTAATTCAGCGATCATCTAGTGAATTTCTTGTAGATACCTCTCTGGTATTTTGGCATTTTTTGGAGGAGAGTTCTCTTGTGAATATGTTAATGTTTTTTGGAGGAGAGTTCTCTTGTAGATATTTCAGTGTTTTTCTTTTCAGCAGAAGTTTCTTGGATTTTCTTCTGGTTCTTCGGCATTTTTCTAGTGAATTTTTTTGTAGATTTCTCTTTGGTATTTTGATAGGGTTTTTTTTTTGAATTCTCTTGTGGATTTCCCTCTTGTCCTTTTGGTGAATTTATTGTAAATTTCCCTCTGGCATTTTAGTGTTTTTTTTTTTTGGTGGATTCTCTTGTGGATTTCCCTCTGGTATTTCAGCATTTTGGGAGAATTCTTTTGTGGATTTCTTAGTGGTCCTTCAGCAGTTTTCTGATGAATTTCTTATGGATTTCCTCTAGTTTTTTTTTTTGGAGAATTCTTGTGAATTTTTCTAGTATTTAGTTTTTTTCTTTTTTGGAGAATTCTTTTGTAGATTTCTTTTTAGTTTTTCGATGTTTTTCTGGTGAATTTCTTGTAGATATCACTTTGGTATCTTGGCGATTTTTTTTTAAAGAATTCTGTTGTAGAATTCTTTCTTGTTTTTCAATGTTTTTTTTGGTGACTT